AACCTTTCCCCATTACATCTGAATATCCTGTAAACTATCATGTCAGATACTGGATCGAAAAATACAGTTAACAAAGTCCTTGGCACAGAACAGGAAACATATAAAAAAAATACTTGTAAGCCATACCGACATTCTGAAGGTGATGAGTTTACATGAGCATGGTGACAGATGGACCTGGGCCATGGCAGGGCAGGTAACATTACAGGACAATAGCAGCAGTTGAGATGACAAGGCCTTCCACTTGTACCCTTTGGTCATGGCAGCACTAGTCTTACAACATTCAAGACCTCAGTAAAGTTTTCAATAGGCTTTATGGTAGACATGTGGAGGAAATGTCGAAATTTGATGCATCAATGACAAGAATGATGTTCGGTGCAATTCCCTATTTTGACTTATGCCATACGTTCCCACATTATTTCAGGTGAACAACTGACTAGACTTAGCATATATTTATTATGGGTGCCTACCCGTGAAGGTCTGGGTTAGAATATTGATCTTCAGTAACCCATGCTTGTCGTAAAAGGCGGCTACCAGGATCAGGTGGTCAGGCTCGCTGACTTGGTTGGCACATGTCATCGGTTCCCAATTGCGCAGAACGATGCTAATGCTGTTGATCACTGGATTGTCTGGTCCAGACTTGATTATTTACAAACCGCCACCATATAGTTGGAATATTGCTGAATGCGGCATAAAACAAAACTCACTCACTCGCTCAATTATTATGTTTGCCACCGATGGGGCAGGATACACTCACCTGGTATTATCCCTATTTCATAGTGATTCTTAAACACATGGTCTGTCATCATATTGCATGGTGACAATCACTGGATTGTTTGGTCCACACTCGATTTGTTTACAAACAACATCGTACAGCTGTAATACTGCTAAAACAATATATACTCACGATATAGTCACAATTGACTCTGCTTTTAGCAGAGATTTCTTATGGATGTGAAAAGAGTTTTGTCGCTTCTATCTACTTCTGACACTTTGGTCCCGTCACCCGTGTGTCATCAACCCGTGGTGGATATTGTGAGCATGCTTTTATTTCATATATGCACAATCCTCAGTGGAGGCAGAGGTATGGGTGACGTTTTTAACATGTCAGTTAAATAAATAATTGTATTCTATACCTACCGGTAATATAAATTATTTTAATATAGGTCAGCTTTAATCATGAAACGAAGAAACGAGTGGGAGCCTGCAACCATTTCATGCAACCTTAACGCACGCAAACAAGAAACACGAACATTAATTGGCTCTATCATTCACTATTGCCCAAGTAGTATAAGAGAGAGATGTTCATTATAACAGTATATACATTTGTGTGCTTGCACTGAAAAATGGATGTAAACTGTGTTCAAACTCGTGAACGAGCGAAATTCTCCCAAATTGAAGTTCACGCGAGAGTTTGAACAACGCTTTGACATCGTTTTTTTCAGTGCAAACACAAAATAAACTGACATTCAATTCTTATAGACGCTTTAACGCAATGCTTTCCACCCATTTGTAGATGATCATTGTTTAGTGTGTTTTAATACCTGGAAAATGTTGTAATGCCATTCGGGTTCAAGAACGTCGTATTGCAGCCGATGTTTGTATACAGCGATTTTCTTAACACATGTATCCCAACCCTTGAAGAAATAGTTCTCAAAGTATCCGATCTTTAAAATATATAACAACAAATTGCTATGGATTTGAAACTGCTTTAATAAGTATAACATCAATAACAGCATCAAACAGAAACAAATATCAGAAGCAATAACAATAGCATTTTAACCAGCTGGCATTGTACCTTTTCACTTGTAAATACCTTGTTTCACCACGTAATAATACACTGACCGACTTGAGGTTGTGCGCGCGGCGTATTTAATAGGAAGCTGATCTTGTTGTATTCTATTTATTTGTGATTGTTTATTGTGAAATTTATTGAGCAGTTGTTAAACAGACCTCGGTAGAAAACCCAGATGAACCCCAAAACCGCGAAACATTAAACTCCTGTAAAAGGAACAATGTTGGCAATCCGCTTGGTAGTGACATTGCCAAACTTGGGGTGACTTGAAACAGGTTCATTGAAGCTGATATTGGCATCACCAATTATTGGGGTCCTTGAAACCGAGCTCACACAAGTATGAGCGATTAGAGGGTTCAAGAGTAATGAACCTTGAAATTTAGATCACATGACCGCTCTCTCAACCAACCAACGCTCGAAATCTGTGTAAGAAAGCAATAAAACGAGTATATACATATGATTGCAATGGGTAAGCCTGGCCATGGAGCTGAAATTCTCCCAAATCCCGTAAAGACAGAATTACACCGCCAGATTATGTTCTAAATTGTCTGTCCTGGAATAAATGCCGAAGGTTTATCTAAACATAGCTGCAAGTCTTTGGTTTCGACATCACTCATGTTTATGACAGACGCACGTTAAGGACAGCTCCCCAGGAGGCACTGCCATTCTCTACTCACTTATTGAAGTGAATTTTAAAATATCGCGTATTTGTGACCTTCAGATATTATAAAACTAGAAAAATAGTTTCTCTTAAATGTTCCAGGATTTGGGTTTGAGCACATACTCAGATATTGTGACTTGTTCTGATACTGGATAGCTATTTGTGCTAGATTTCCGAGTTAGTATTGATTTTGTTTAAGGAAATAGCCATGTCCTCCACAACATTGATTGATTCTTTTAAAATTCAGGCAACATGGTATTGACCTAGACATAAATATTGACGAGTTTGTAAACAGTTTAATGGTGTGCTTTGCGAGAGGCGGACACCACAATGCAAGGTTTGCTTTATTTTTGTCATCAATATTTTTTGTTTATTTATAGTAAGTTTAGTGATTTTACACTGCTTTTAGAAACAATTCTAAATTGTCATGAGGCCATACCAGGAATGTGCTTCAGACACTGACGCCTCTTGAGACCTAGGGGTGGTGTGGTAGCCTAATGGTTGAAGTGTCTGCTCGTCACGCTGAAAAACCTGGGTTCGATTCCCCACCTGGGTACAATGTGGGAAGCCCATTTCTGGTGTTCCCCTCTGGGATATTGGGATTACTGGAATATTGCTAAAAGTGGTGTAAAACTACACTCACTCACTCACTCACTCACTCATTCTTGGGAACTACACCCTGGTATTCCTTGTACAAACAAACACTTCTACTGCTCAGCTACCCTTCCACCTTAATTCTGGTCAATATAATTCATAGTAATGTACACAGATACCAAAGCTCCATATCACACACACACACACACACACACACACACACACACACACACACACACACACACACACACACACACACACACACACACACACACACACACACACACACACACACACACACACACACACACACACACCGAAGATGACACAAAGAAAGGAAGTAATTTTTTTCCCCCATATCAGAGATATCCTGATGGTAAAGTGATTGCTTTATAATCCACTTAATAAGATTTAAGTATTTAGTTACGAGAATGTCCAAGTGAATATTCACCTAATACTACTTAGCCATATAAAATCAGCGCTGTCCTTTGATGTGACAGCGCCAGTGTCTACGGAGAAGTGGGTCTTGGTGCTAACATGGCACATCTGCCTGTATGACATATAAGGCTCTAAAACCATTAATGCTCTTCCTGCTCTTGTGTGGTCGATTCATCACCAAATATGTGGTTATCTGTCACAAGGGAGGTAATTACCACAAATACAGTTAACAGTATTAAATTCTGCCTGAATAACACATAGCATGCTATTTTCTGTTTACACCATGTAATTTTCAATCTGCTGGCAGATGATAGACAAATTACTATGTTGGCTGTTCTAGGATTATTCTGTAAAATTTTCTGAAGAATTTTCTCCGTAACCATGGCAACATAAAGGAATATATGCAAGTACTTCCCTAAAGCTGCAGTTTAGTGGTGGTCCCCTGAGGGGAGGATTCCATGAAGACTGTTGGGATTTTCTACACGAACAGCATGGTGTGTAGTTTGTAGGATGTTGTCGCCATTGTTATTTGCCAAAAGCTAAAACAAGAAAATTGGCAATCACTAACTTAAACTAAGCCCCTTAGCAGAATAACAACCTTCTAGTGTGGAAAATTACAATAGAATTACTGCTAAAAAGTGAGCAGTTTGAGATAGGATTTGTTTTTTGTTATTGTGTTGCCTGCCTGGCCTGAGCACTGACACTATAGCGGACCCTAAAATAACACTGCATTGATTGGAAATAAAGAAGTGTAGTTTGTGTCGAGTTTGAAGCTAATTAAGAGGGTAGGGGAAAAAGGCAGCCACATTTGACATGTGAGGAGGCTGCCATCACAGTCAGCTTTGATCTGGAAGTTTCAATATCTCCGGAGAATCCCGCTCAGTACACATGGAGGGAGACATATGCTTTGAAAGTAAATTGGTTTTGGTACTCACTGAGAGTCATTAGAAAGTTTCCAAGTGCAGGCGTACCCTTGATAACAGTTAGCTGTGGACATGTGGCAAGTTCTGTCAGAGGTTTATAGGTGTTCATGTTCACGTTGACTGTTTGTTCAGATGGTATGACCCTGTGGCAATAGGTTTGATGTTGTTGGTAAAGTCGGTCCTCAATTGTAGGGTGGTATAAGTCATATCAGCTAACTTAAATTTTGTACACAACAGTTATCCTCCAATGATTTTCATCCAATATTCCAACCCCCATGTCATCCCATTGCATATCATAACATTGTGTCTCCCCACAGCGTCCCTCAACAGTGTCCCTCCATACTGTCTCACTGGGTCTATATATAGTGTCCTAGTAGTGTCACTCAGTAGTGAGGCACCCACAGTGTCCCACAATGCCCCACCTACAGAGACCCACAATGCCCCTCCCAGTGTGCCACAATGCCCCTTTCACATGTCATATTGCTCTTACCACATCCCTCCCACAGTGTCTCAGTGCCCCTCCCACAACATCCCTCCCACAGCGTCTCAGTGCCCCTCCCACATCCCTCCCACAACGTCACAGTTTTGTACAATGCCCTCCAACAGCTACCCACAACATCCCTCCCACGTCTCAGTGCCCCTACAACAACATCCCTCCCAGTGTCTCAGTGCCCCTCCCACAACATCCCTCCCACAGCGTCTCAGTGCCCCTCCCACATCCCTCCCACAACATCCCTTCCACAACGTCACAGTTTTGTGCAATGGCCTCCAACAGCTACCCACAACATCCCTCCCACGTCTCAGTGCCCCTACAACAACATCCCTCCCAGTGTCTCAGTGCCCCTACCACAACATCCCTCCCACAGTGTCTCAGTGCCCCTACAACAACATCCCTCCCACAGTGTCTCAGTGCCCCTACAACAACATCCCTCCCACAACGTCACAGTTTTGTACAATGCCCTCCAACAGCTACCCACAACATCCCTCCCACGTCTCAGTGTGCCCTACAACAACATCCCTCCCAGTGTCTCAGTGCCCCTACAACAACACCTCCCACAGTGTCTCAGTGCCCCTACAACAACATCCCTCCCACAGTGTCTCAGTGCCCCTACCACAACATCCCTCCCACAGTGTCTCAGTGCCCCCTACAACAACATCCCTCCCACAGTGTGTGCCCTACAACAACATCCCTCCCACAGTGTGCCCCTACCACAACATCCCTCCAACAGTGTACAACATCCCTCCCACAGTGTCTCAGTGCCCCCTACAACAACATCCTTCCCCACAGTGTCTCAGTGCCCCTCTCTCCCACAACGCCTCCCAGTGCACCTCCCACAACATCCCTCCCACAGTGTCTCAGTGCCCTCCCACAACATCCTTCCCACAGCCCCTCCCACACAACATCCCCTCCCACAGTGTCTCAGTGCCCCTCCCACAACATCCTTCTCCAACAGTGTCTCAGTGCCCCCTCCCACAGTGTCTCAGTGCCCACAGTGTCAGTGCTCCCACAACATCCCTCCCCACAGTGTCTCAGTGCCCTCCCACATCCTTCCCAGTGTCTCAGTGCCCCTCCCACAACATCCCTCCCAGTGTCTCCCTCAACACAACATCCCTCCCACAGTGTCTCAGTGCCCCTCCCACAACATCCCTCCCACAGTGTCTCAGTGCCCCTCCCACAACATCCCTCCTCAGTGTCTCAGTGCCCCTCCCACAACATCCCTCCCACAGTGTCTCAGTGCCCCTCCCACAACATCCTCTCCCAGTGTCTCAGTGTCTCAGTGCCCTCCCACAACATCCTCCCACAGTCTCAGTCTCAGTGCCCCTCCCACAACATCCCTCCCACAGTGTCTCAGTGTGCTCCCCCAACATCCCTCCCACAGTGTCTCAGTGCCCTCCCACAACATCCTCTCACAGCTGTCTCAGTGCCCCTCCCACAACATCCCTCCCAGTGTGTCCTCAGTGCTCCTCCCACAACATCCTCCCACAGCGTCTCTCCCTCCCACAGTGCTCCCTCCCACAACATCCCTCCCACAGTGTCTCAGTGCTCCCTCCCACAACATCCTCCCACAGTGTCTCAGTGCCCCTCCCACAACATCCCTCCCCACAGTGTCTCAGTGCTCCTCCCACAACATCCCTCCCACAGTGTCTCAGTGCCCCTCCCACAACATCCCTCTCCTCAGTGCCCTCCCACAACATCCCTCCCACAGCGTCTCAGTGCCCCTCCCACAACATCCCTCCCACAGTGTCTCAGTGCCCCTCCCACAACATCCCTCCCACAGCATCCTCAGTGCCCCCTCCCACAACATCCCTCTCACAGCGTCTCAGTGCCCTCCCACAACATCCTCCCACAGTGTCTCAGTGCCCCTCCCACAACATCCCTCCTCACAGCGTCTCAGTGCCCCTCCCACAACATCCCTCCCACAGTGTCTCAGTGCCCCTCCCACAACATCCAGTGCTCCTCCCACAACATCCTTCAGTGTCAGTGCCCTCCACAGTGTCTCAGTGCCCCTCCCACAACATCCCTCCCACAGTGTCTCAGTGCCCCTCCCACAACATCCTCTCACAGTGTCTCAGTGCCCCTCCCACAGTGTCTCAGTGCCCCTCCCACAACATCCTCTCAGTGCCCTCCCTCAGTGCCCCTCCCACAGTGTCTCAGTGCCCTCCTCCCACAACATCCTCTCACAGTGTCTCAGTGCCCTCCCACAGTGTCTCAGTGCCCCTCCCACAACATCCCTCCCACAGTGTCTCAGTGCCCCTCCCACAGTGTCTCAGTGCCCCTCCCACAACATCCCTCCCACAGCGTCTCAGTGCCCCTCCCACAGCGTCTCAGTGCCCCTCCCACAACATCCCTCCCACAGTGTCTCAGTGCCCCTCCCACAACATCCCTCTCCCACAGTGTCTCAGTGCCCCTCCCACAGTGTCTCAGTGCCCCTCCCACAACATCCCTCCCACAGCATCCCTCCCACAGTGCCTCAGTGCCCTCTCACAACAGTTTCAGTGCCCTCCCACAGCTCTCAGTGCCCCTCCCACAACATCCCTCTCACAGTGTCTCAGTGCCCCTCCCACAGTGTCTCAGTGCCCCTCCCACAACATCCCTCCCACACAGCGTCTCAGTGCCCCTCCCACAACATCCCTCCCACAGTGTCTCAGTGCCCCTCCCACAACATCCCTCTCACAGTGTCTCAGTGCCCCTCCCACAGTGTCTCAGTGCCCCTCCCACAACATCCCTCCCACAGCGTCTCAGTGCCTCCCACAGCATCCCTCCAGCGCCTGCCCCACAACATCCCCCACAGCGCCTCAGTGCCCCTCCCACAACATCCCTCTCACAGTGTCTCAGTGCCCTCCCACAGTGTCTCAGTGCCCCTCCCACAACATCCCTCCTCTCACAGTGCCCCTCAGTGCCCTCCCACAGTGTCTCAGTGCCCCTCCCACAACATCCCTCCCACAGTGTCTCAGTGCCCCTCTCACAACGTCTCAGTGCCCCTCCCACAGTGTCTCAGTGCCCCTCCCACAACATCCCTCACAGTGTCTCAGTGCCCCTCCCACAGTGTCTCAGTGCCCCTCCCACAACATCCCTCCCACAGTGTCATCCCTCTCACAGCGTTTCAGTGCCCCTCCCACAACATCCCTCACAGAGTCTCAGTGCCCCTCCCACAACATCCCTCCCACAGCGTCTTGTTATCTGTCAGCTTTGCTGCAGACCTAAAGGAGAATATTAACGCAAAAGTTGTTTATGTCATAGGGGTAAAAGCATTTTAAAAGTCACTTTCCAGATTGAAGTTGAACAAAAACTAGCAAAATAAACATGTAAAAAATGCACTTATATTTCGCCTATTACGGAAACACCTGACAGTTAATGAGCAGAAGCAGGTGTCACGTGACATGATGTCATATGTGCCTGTTGCCTATGGCTTCCTCTTTGATTTTAGCTGACAACTTGACAGTGACCATGGATTCTGAAGCAATAAAAGATGTTCTTGGTGTCATATTTGACATGGATGTTAGACCATATAAATATGAGCTGACTTTACATCAGCTTGAAAAGTCAAGCGAAATGGAGTCACCACTTGATGTCCAAATAATCATTTATATAGACAATATAATTTCCAAGCAATTTTACTTTATATTTTTAATATGCTACAGTTTCAACCAGCACATTCACATCTGTAATAAATTACCAAACCTCAAGAAAATATAATTTTTTTAAAATGGGATTGCAGTGGATTCTGGCATTTTTATAAAAATTCATTGTCCCAGAAAATGTTATTAAAAATAATTATGCTTCAGACAGCGGAAATAGAAATTGTCTGCTACAAAAATTACATTGTTGCAAGGAATTATTTTGTTTGAAAAGAAATGATGATCCTATTTATCATATTATCTTGTCTCTATACAAGATCCCAGCCTGTATGAGAAGAGGTAATATATGCGATGCAGATAATTAGTGTCATGAAAACTGGTGAATTATAAAATACTAGTCAGGACAACGTATATTTGCCTAGTTTTAGCTTATGGAAATAGTTATGGTGCTCAATCATAACTTTAGAATGACATCAGGTCAGCCAGTGAGAATACAGAACAATTTTCACCGCACACAATACTGACAAATAGTGAGTCTGTTGCCGATGCGCGTAATTCAACAAAATGGAAAACATTTGAATTAAACAAGTACTTCATCATTTGCCATTGTATTTGTTTCTAATGTTTCCTTCTAGTAGACTGTATTTGAGGCTCCAAACCGGAATGAATGTAATAGCGAAACATTTTCAAGCTCATGGGAAATTTCAGACGTGATTTAATCAATGTTAAAAAGTACCACTGACAGTAAGTTGTAACATGTAATGACGGAGGTTAAATAGAATATTATGAAATGAACATGAAATATGTTTGTACCACATGAACGGTCTAAGGTAACAGTTATGTCTATCAAAAACTGCCTCCCAAACTATTTAACTCGTCCGTGGTGCTATTTCCATTGTTCGATGACGCCATGCAACCCCAGGTAATACAATACCCCATCTTACACATGACAAGAACGACAGAAGAAAGCAGTTAACATTACTGTAGTGCTTGGTCTTATGCATTATGGCTGACCAATTAACATATGACATCACAAGTGTAAAAGGTCACGTGACCGTTAGCGGAATATGCATAATGGCTGAAACTGAGATAGCTGAAACTGTTTTTGCAATTAAAATGTAAATAATAATAATTTTTCATTAACAATTGAGGTACATGTTTCTGATGACTTTATCTTTAACCCAGTCCGTTATTGCAATTTTCCAGTGTTCTCCTTTAAGTGTCTTTCAGTGTTCTGTATTCCAGTAATGTCAGTGATGTTTTGCCTTTAGCTTAATTCATATAATATACTTCTGGGTCCTTTCACGGAAAAGGCCAAGATATTCAAACAGAAGTATCAGTTGACGAGTGTTTTATTCTGATGTAAGTGCGTAGATTTGTGCTGAGGTCAGACTAGTATGAAGTGTTTGTGGAGTGTAACGAGATCTGTGTGGTGCTATCAAATGTCCAGTCTTGCCCTGGGGAGGGGCAGGTTTCTCCATCCATAGCACACTGGATTCTGTACTCTCATGGTACTGTAGTTCTTCACATTTAAATATTCCAAGCTATTGGAGGAATGTCCTTTCACTATATCTCCTCCACACTGGATTCTATACTCTAAAGGCTAGTAATTCTTCTCTATTTTCTTCATTTTCAGGAGGGAACATCCATTTAAAATATTTACATAGTATTAGCAGTGATAATTAAGGTGATGTACAGAGTACAGTTAACATGGTGCTAATCTTGGTAAAGAAACTTGGCATCATTAGATTTTGGAATTTGTCACCTTGGAGGGTCTTCTTGACCACTGTCATCTTTGGGGGATTGTGGTGTGTAATGTCTTGTCCCTAGTGTTACAGTCACGTAATTAAGATAATTCCCTTCACTTTGACCAGCAACTTGTATATCTTTTACTGTACACCCAATCCATGGTCAAGAACTTCATTCTTCTTATTCTTGACGCTGCTAGAGTCAATTATGAAGACACTACTGCTTAAAACGATTAACCATTTCTTCTGTATTTTTGAAAGTGAAGCTTTGCATTTAGGAAAGATGACAATATATGGATGAACAACTTCTTAATTAAAGTGAAAGTGATGTTTCAATGTCAAGCAACAATGTTAGAACCTACACTGAAACGTCATTATAAAAACTTCTAAATACCTCTCAAACAAGTTAAGCTTTGTATTTGTTAGCATGAGTTCAATGTGTGACTGATTACTACATTCTAGGAACTTTGTTTGCAGTAATATCTATATCAGTGTTGCAGGACAACCCTTACATGTCAGGGACACATCTTTTTTACAAGGATGATGGGATAATTAGGAATCTTCTCCATTATAGCAGGCCTTCCCTTAGTCTGTCTCACAGTCTCTCAACCACATTATTTTCCCTACTGCCTTGCCCTCCCTGCAATGCTGAAGCCCAAAATGAAGCAAGTCTAGATTTTCCCTGAATATCACAACTAATGGGGGCTCCTTTTCAATTTAAATGGGTTTATTTGTTACAATCAAAATAATATATTTTCAGGAACTAAGTGTTAGGCTAGCCTTCCTCTAGTCTGTCGCACAGTATCTGAACCATGTTATTTTCCCTTCAGCAAAGCACTGCCTATACTACAAATGATGTAAATAAAGCAAGTCTTAGTAAGATTATCTCAAGTTCATTATCTCCCTTGGACATCTTTTCGATATAAATGGAGCTCTTTTTGTCTTTCAGAGTTATATATGTGTTAGTCTGACCTTTTCTGAATCCTTGTCAATTTTGTGTGTTTTCATTATGGTTTTCAATAGGTAGATACATGATCTACAGATCCCCTTCACCTACTTTGTGTTTGGGCCTGGATCAGACAGATCACTCACTCACTCACTCACTCACTCACTCACTCACTCACTCACTCACTCACTCACTCACTCACTCACTCACTCACTCACTCACTCACTCACTCACTCACTCATACTGCTTATGGGGAAGTACCCTGTCCATAGATCCCAAAGGTAGCTTCTACTTAAAAAACAACTGTATTGAAGCCCCAAGTTTAACCGCCACCAGTTTTACCGGTCTCTCAGTCCCTCAATTGTATACCGTCCTCTTACATCCAAATACTAGATCCCTCAATGATATCGATGCAAGTGAAGATGTTCCAAAAATTTCCATCTTGCTGGGGCTCCTTTTCAGTTTACATGTCATTACTTGTTTCTGTCAAATGTATATATACACAGAAACTCTTAAAACACCCGTCTCCATTTGTAGTACAGGTTAGAGCTGCTACAGGGACTACACTGGTAGAGCTTACAGGGCATTACCAGATCTGTGGGCAAGTGGGGGAAGTCGCAGACGGTGGTACCATTAACAGAATGATATATATCCTGATAATAATCCAGTGGGTATTTGTATATACTGCGCAGTATCCGACCCCTGGAGCATGATTACAGAGCGAGACAATTGTTACCTTGTCAGTAGACATTAGGCACCGAGTGACGTTCTTGGCTCATGACGAGTGTACACCTCAAGCTCTGTTAGGCTCTAAATGGGCCTGACTTCACATTCACATCTCATCCAACAAGGTAAATAGATGCAGGATTGAAGTATTAAGTTGTTTTACTGTCTGTTCAGAATGATACTGTATCGAGTTTTGTCTGCAAATAGGCTTTTTGATGATTATGTTCCTGACTGTGGAGTCTGGTTATGTTCCGAGGAAGCAGGTTCCGTCAGGGCCAAAGGAAGCCACGGAGATAAAGACGAGGATTAGCTTCGACAAAGTTATTTGATTCGTGCAACTGTCACTTTAGTTGAAAATTCTACTTCCTGGATAACAGGGAATCGTGGGATAGAGTGGTCAACGTGAAACAAGTGTACAAAGTGTGCTGATTGATTCTACTGGAAATTACCCAAAAATCAATTGGAATTTGTCTGAATAGGGCACTTTAGATTTGAAATTCACTTTCAAGTACACACTATGAAATTGTTTGTAGGTCCAAAGTCATTGCTTGATCCAGCTCTGTCGAGCTTCAAGCCAAACCATCCTCATAGATTTTCATGTAGAAGATAAAAAAATAAAATTGGATTCAGCACAAAACCATCTCCTAGAATTTTTTATTCGGAAAATGTGGTCTGAAGAACCCGATGAGATGGTTTTATCCAATAACCATGATATTTTTTTATCCAACATACATGCTAGGTTAGTTCAGCTGCAATAGTTTCTTTGAAATTACTACAAAAATACCATCGTCTTCTCAACGTTTCTTTCATCCTCAGCATTAAGTGTTTTTCATAAAGGAGTGTTTAAGTCATAATTATTTATAAATTGATTCAGAACTCTTCGTCTCTGACATTTATTTCTCTGACAGCATTCCTTTGAATTTTGCCAGCTCACAAGCACACCATAGAAATGTGGTTCTCTAAATTTGCCACAGGTCGACCTTCTAACGTGATGCAACATATATTTGCCTTCATCCTCCCGTGGTTTTGCCCCATTCTGTCTGTAATTTCTGCAGTGAGTTTACTCTGTATTATTTCAGTCTTCAAATAGAAAAATTAGGAAGTTATAAATGACAAAGTATGTCTCAAGAATAAAAGAAGCATATTTCCGACTGAGTTGACATCACAATGTCTGTCAGCGGCCGTTAATGTCAACATTATCACCCA